GGGCAACCTCGACATATAAAAAAGGATATATATATATATAACCACCCAGATCCGATACGGCTCCTTTCCCTTTTTCATGAAACTACGCCAATGCGTTTCTTGCTCTTTCAGTGAAGATTCGCTGAAAGAGAAGTACATAGCGTTCATTTCATTCATCTACTCGGATGTTTGGAAGAATCTCCATTCCCTACCAAAAGCCACTTCTCGAGTGCCTTAGTTCTGTTGGAGTTAATGCAGTTCTGGACTCAGCAAAAGTTCTGATCGCCTTCAAATTCTGTACGATCATTCCAGCACTGACGCAGACAGACAGCTCTGAAGGGCGACGCACATCCTTCGCGTCGTTCGTTCGATTCAAGTCGTTTTCACGTCAACTGCGAGTGTGATTGATATCATAGCGTTTTTAAGGCAACCTTAAAAAATGAATGCATATTTTTTTGCAGCCATAATGATCAAATGACTGTTTTCATCAAGCACAAAGAAACGACACGCAAAAATTACCCGCCCAGCCAACAGAATCAATTTTCAGGCGCTACGCTCAACTGAAGTGAACGACCTCGACAACCGAGCAGGCAAACAGCCATTAGAGTGACGTCATGCATCCGATAATAAAAATGCTATAATTGCAGGTGATACCCACTTGAATCATGAATCAAAAGCGTAACAACGAATCATGAACACCTCCAGATCGATGGACCTCCTCGAAGAAGTTTGCTGTCGGTTTTGGAGAGATCCTTATTCATCAACGAATTAAAAAGGCAGGGAATAACAATGAGGCTAAAGATGTGGATGATGCTTATGATTATGACGAAAACGAATCAGCACTGTGTGCGGCGGCGTTAATCCGACTATTACCCTTTTCATTAGGCATATTAGAAGGATTCGATTATTTGAATAACAGTAAATGGTCATTGCATACTGACCAATGATTGAAGGCGACAACTAGAAAGTACAGTGTAAAACCAGTTTTTACCGACACATTTATGAAAAGCACGGCAGTGTGATCATCAGGATAACAATATGCAAAATCCTTTCATTAGGAACTGTATTCACTGCATTAATTGATGACTCCTTAAGCTTATAGAAGATTTAAATAACAGATTGACTAAAGTACAAATTGGTATCATTGAAAAAGAGGAATCAAAATAAATACTCAATGAAACACTATTACTGAAAAAAATATTGGTTGTAACACTACTTTATTTGTCACCGAAAATATCACTTGCTTCATATGATTTCTCCGTGCGAGCTGCTGCTTCTTAATCGATCAGACTGAAAAATCGCAAAAACCAATATATACGACGAGTAGCATCGGACATGAAATCAGAATGCCGAATTGGAAACTTAGATGAGCAGTTTTTGCAAATGAGGAAGTTATATCTTCAAGTTCCCATCGAACTTTTTAGTGTTGTATGCGTTGTTCGAAAGAAACTTTTAGAAGGATCGAGTTACGGGATTTTAGTCAAAGTTTACTTAACTAGGCATTTTAAAATTCAATCAGAAGCAGTTATAGAATTTAGGAAATGCAGAACCACCTTTGAATCCGTACAAAGATCCGCAACGATCCTACATCTCATTGCGCCAAGCCACCAAAGGGCGTGGCACAGCTTCATCCTGACTAATGAAAACTGAACGCTTGCCGTGGCAAGAGCAATGATAATTTGGGTGTCAGATAAATTATTGTCAACTTAATCGTTCGCAATATTAGCGTAACAACCAAATCTGCTACTCACTGCCCACGTAACTGCTACTCTCATTTACTGTACAATTCCGTATGATTATTACCCTAATGCTGGGGTTGCTACGGAAGTTAATTAAGGAAGTTAGCGTTATCTTATATAGTCAGAAAAAATTTTTACCAATAAACGGCTCACAACTCCGCCATGGCCGGTCCCAAGCCTGGATGAGAAAAGAGGAGGGTTGGAGACCGTGGCAAGTCTCCGTAAAATTCAGCCATCTGCCACTCATGGTATTGACGCCAT